GGGCATGCTAAATATTTCACAACACGCCGGCAAAGTGCTTACACGTCATATTTTTTGCAGGCTTGCTTGTGCGCCTGTTTTCTCTCGACCATTGTAGCTGATCCGGCGAAAGCACCCTCGGCGCAGCTACGCCGCTTTTTGATTGGGATGCAAAATCCGAGTCTTCTTCAGAAAGACAAACGAAGTCGACAGCAAATATTCGCGGAAAAGCGTGTCGATCAAGTGGTTTATTCAAAGGGCGGCGCCGCCAACATCAAGTGCGCAGTGCCGTTTAATATTTCACAATATGTAAAAATTGCAAAGTTTTGAAAAATACTGACTGCGTAAAAGTACCGTTGCACTATTTAGAAGTGCTTGACTAAATATTCTTTATGTTGAAAATATTTACGTCATAGATAGCGCTTATTTTTTTAAAAATCTTTAAATATAAACTGTCTTTAAAAGAAATGAAATTAATATACATTTTGAAAATAATATTTTTTTAACAGTAATTTTAATTATTTTATAAGTTTAATCGAAAATTCTGTTTTTTATTATAAATATTAATATTTCTCTAAACAATAAAATACTTTTTATTTAATTTCATAAATATTTAAATAATAAAATATTGATAACAAACATGTGCAGACACCTTTCAAAAGGATTGAAAAATCACTTTGCTCGGTTCATATACCAGGCTAATGTGCTTTTCCCTAAAAATAGATAATAACATTTTGTCACTAAAATAGTTAGAGGTTCTGTAAACTAGATTTATAGAATTTATTATTTCAACATGCAACATATAAAATGAACGGCACTTATCTACGAGGATGCTTTTCTTTCAATTTATAACAAGAACCACGAGAATTAAAATTTCAAATCTATATGATAATCAGATAAAAAACTATAAAAAAAAACATTCCGTTGCTCTTGCATGTGTACGTAATTCCTTTCCTGAAATTAATTTTTTCCGCAGTCCATCGTGATTTACGATTGGCGGAAATCTGATCATTATCAAAATGTGGCCAAATTAAAATTATACAGAGAGCACAATAATATAGCAAAGTTTATGGTGCTGCGAGTAATAGCGTGCACGGCTGGCGCCGAGTTGTACCGGCCGGCGGCGGTTCGCCAATGCAGAATTTGATTTTATTGCGCCGCCGCTGCACTCTGCCCGGCCAGCACTCTCTCTGATTATTTATTAATGCAGAGGCGCAATTAATAGCAGGATTGCCAGCAGATAAAGCGATCAGCGGTAATTGCAGCACATTACCACCTGCCCTGGGATTCAATTGGCCGACCCCGACCCTACCGCTGCTTATGACTGTTGTCGTCCCGTTGATTATTTATTCGAGCCCTGCACTCGCCGCCGCAGCCATCAGACCCGACCACGCTTTTTATCTGCGGTAATTAACTGCAAAAATGAATTATATCATTCCATGTTTCATCCGGATCATATCAAAATTGGAAAATATTTTCACCATTTATTATCATCTGGATTTTTGTCATAAATTGTATCAGATTGAATTTCCCCACTTTAAAAAAAAAATAAATAAATAAATAAATAAAAGTTTGTTATTAGAAATGGTTCATCTTGAAACTGGAATCTAAATTATAGTAGTTGATGAAATTATTTAAAATTCCTTATGTTTGAATTATTGAAAAATATAAATTAAATAATAATAATATGCTCGTAAATTCAAATAAACAATAATCTATCATCCGTTTTTGGCCTAGTTAAAATTAAAAAAAAAGATGCATTGCTCAAGATATGATTGAAAGTATGAAAACTTTCCATGGAGTCAACGTGTGCATAAAACCTTTGGCTTTGGGTTCAAGATGCCGCGGCACGAGAATTTAGGGCAAAAAAGCGTCGTGGGAAATTCAAATTCACTCGTCAAGCTGTGGGCACCGTTCGTCGACACGTTCTCCTCTTTTGGCAGGGATAAAAGGAGTTTTGCCCGAGTGGCTGGATGGAAGTGCAGGCAGGATGTGTCCCAGGAGTGCGGAGAGTTGCGGGCAGCCCTCAAAATAATGCCCTTTTTATTCCCCAATGAGCGCATTAACGTTTACAACGCGCTGCAAAGCAAAACATGCCTCGTTCTCTCTCTCTCGTATGTGTGTGTCTTTGAAATGGAAAACTCGGGGGCGTAATTTGATTTGCCTCTCAAGGAGGCCGCAAAACGCTGCATGTTTCATGCCCTTTTTAACCCCCCAGCCAGAGGAAAGGCAAGGCCGGATGGACACACAGCGGCGCATAATTCAGAGCTGCCATTCTTTTATGACTTTGCAAGTGTAATTAAATTCATGGAAACTCCTTGCAAACATCAACTTAGCTAAATTTCATTAGGTCTCTGAAAGCATTTTTCAACTCCACGGCAAAAACTTTTATATAATTTCTGTGCCGTTTATCATTGCTTTTAATTTCAATGGGGCAAAATTGCCTAGTTAGGATTAATAAGCTTTCGTGCTCTAGTGCCACTGCAAAAGTGTGCACCATCCTATAAATCCACGTGAGTGCCTGTGCAAAAGTATTCTGCACGGTGCAATTAATCCAATTACCATAACCTACGCGAGAGAGGAAATACCAATCTATTTGGCGCTGCAATTAAAGCGCAAAATTATCCGCTCTGCTAATTGCCATCATAACAAATTACACGAGGCTGAACGAACGCGGCAAATGAAATTTCCCGCAGCAGCAGCCACGCCGCCGGAGCGATGCAATTACCATCGAATGAATATATACACTCGTGCAATGCAGTGCATGGAACTAATATTGACACACACAGACGCGTAACAAAAACACACTGCGATGCTGACAGGTGCATTTTGCACACACCGTTTCATTTGTACATGAATGCTCCGCTGCTCTTTTACCGACGAATCCGTTCGGATGTTAATTAAGTTCTCGCGATCCATCTCTAAAACAATACACAGATTGTCTGTTAATTAATTTTGAATTAATGAAATATGATTAGTTTGTAATATTTCCAATGCTTTTTACTATTGCTATGGTTTTTTTTTTTTCAAAAAATCTGCAATTACATAAAAATATTTGACTTACTGCTATTTTCATGAATTCCGTCAAATTTAATTGTTATCATACGCTTTAAGGTTACAATTGCAGATGAGATCAATAATCAACTGATTAAGATTTTATTAAGCGACTAAAATTAGAATTTTTTTAATTGTATTATTGTAACAATATCCATATTAATCCATATCTCATAAGATCTACATCAAATCTCGCGTTAGGCTCCTTCACATCTTCATAGTTTCGTAAATTTGAGGTATGAAGTAATTATAAAATAATATTTATTTCAATGTAATATAGAATAATAATGCTCAGAACTTGTATTTTTTTTAAAAACTAAATTATTATAATAACATATTAAAAAAATGTAAGTAACTAAAATAAAAATATAATTAATTAAATATGGCATTACTTTCACTTGCAATGAATATTCCGGTTAAACTATTTGAAAATTTTAATAACATTTTACATAATAATCGATTTATTTCATCGCAGATTTTAATAAGTTGAGGGGTTTAATAAGAAACATTAAACACGTGGAGCGTCATATTTTCCTTAAATCACTTAAATGTAAGCAAAAATATTTCAATAATTTCTTGTTCTTAAAATATGTTGTTCATTCAAAGTTTTATAAAAAATTATGGCGGTGAATAATTCAGTAAATTACAATAGAAAATGGATCGGTACAAAAATAACTTCGCCGCAAGCAGTATAGCGAAAAATTAGCAAAACCACACAGGTTTTTGCCAAAGATATGCAAATAACTGGATCGACCTTGTCGGTATTTCTGCCGCACGGCCAGCTTTACTTGGAATTGCTTGGCAGCGGCGGCGCGATTGTATTTTTGTGCTCGCAAGGCGATTCCTTTGTGTTCCCTACCTACAGCTATCGTGCATTTGCATTTTGGCCAAGCACCAACAATCGCGCCTGGTATTGATTAACGGTTTGAACTAAATTACCGCACGAAAGCATCAAGAGGGCGCAAAAAATGCCGGGGAAGAGGGAAAACGCGGCGGTGGCGGCGGCGGTGCCCATAATATATCACACAAGAAGCCTGAGAAAAACGACTGGTGTGGGTGCGCGCCGAATATAAAGTCGCGAGGAAGAATCGTATTCCCTCTCATATTTATTTACTCTCGCTCAGGCATATTCATCAATTGCAGGTTTCATTAAAAACCACAAGTGGATGAAAAAGTTTTCTCGAGATCTCTTCCGCTCTCTCGCTGATTTATTTCTGCCCCGAAAAAAGCGCGCACTGTTTCTCATTGTGCGCGAGAGAGTGGAGAGGAAAAAAAAGAGAGGAAAATTTAACCCGCGGGCGAGGAAGAGTAAGAGAGGGAGCATTTAAAAAATATGAGCGCCTCGTAAATCATCTTAATACGCTGGCGGTTTCATGAAATTTAAATTGGGACGGCCGATATATTGAATCTGCGGCCGCTTTTTATCGGCTTTAATGTGCTCTTGGCAGACTCGAGGGTGGCGGCACATCGATTTCGTCCGCCCGCCTCTCGCCCTCTGGCACCGTCTTGGCTCACCTGTTTTCGAAATGCATGATGCACGGCGTCCGTCCGCAGGCCCCTGTGCCCTTTGCCTTGCCAAAATTGCCTGCAAAAAGGGGTTTGCTCCCAAAAATAGCTAAAGAGAGGAGCTTTTTCATTAGACAAATTAATGCAGCTTTAAAAAAAATTACTCTTCGCCGGGCTTTTATTTAATTATAAATAAATTAATTAAAGAATTATGCAAGGAACAAAAAAATCAATAGATTATTAGTCATTTTAAACTCAATATTTTATATAGAATATTAAAAAAAATATTTAGAATCATCAAAGCCAAATATTAACCGTGAAAAGTTTTAAAAATTAAAATGATTTGATTTTTACAAATACTAAACTTTTGTAGAAGAACAAAATTATTCCGTTCTAATTTTTTTCCCCACATCATTCTCATAATTTTGGGAGACTCGTCTGCTATCGACGTGCCAACCAGGGCCGTGGCACGGCCATATGGGAAACTCGTCCCCGCTAAATACGGAAATATCGCGTTGACTAACTGCCAGAGGGCAGCACAAAACGCTTTTCGATCGTCACGACCCTGGTGGCGGCCACTGAAGCTCACGGTACAACAAGCTGCCGGCTGCCATATTGAATCGAGAAACGAAGCGCGGGAAGCACGTTTCTTTGACAGTTTGGCCGCTTTCCCACGGCCGCAGGCCGTGACAGGCCGAATTCTTGTCGCGCACGAGTGGCCAAAGAGCCAAGGAGTATTCTTAACAGCCACATCATCGGCCCAGGGGCCTACTTCAGCCCTGGCGGGCACGCAAAGTGCGAGGTCGTCGGCGCAAGATTACTGAAAACAAACTTTTGGTGAGTGGAAATTTTCTGGAAAATTTCAATAATCATTTATTAATTGCACTTTATTCCAGAGACTGCGCCAGTTTCCCGTCGTGCGCTTCCAATTTAATTTTTCCAACCTGGGAGAGAATACGAGAAAAACGCTGGTGCAAATAAAAATATGTAGTCAACCAAATTGTGGTAAACTGATCTATTTTTCTTCTTCTAATTTTCATTTTTTGCAGGAATCGGAGTTTCTTTTTATTAACTGAGAGTGCAGTTCATCACCGTGTGTTTGGACACCTCATTATTTATCATTTTATCCTTGATTTTTTTGGAATTGGTAAGATCATGAACTGCGAGAGGTGTACTTGGTTTTTGAATATTTCCTCCTCCAACAGGATACTGGATCTGAGACATCACGTTTAAAGGAAGTTGAAATTTGAATGCCTCGATGAAAAATATTGTCAACTGTTGATTTGATGGCTGCTTTTGTCTTATCCAACAATAAAATTATTGGTTCATACATATAAATTCTAGCCAGGCGTGCTCCGCAATTGTTATATTTTTATTTAATTGTACAGAATTATTCAAATATGATTTTATTTGGTTTATTATGTATAATAATAAATAAACTACCATCTTTACATCATTTACAAATTCAACATGGAATCAACATCAAGAATTTGCTTGTGAGGTTAGTCAGCAGAAAGATACAAAACATTTCTTTTGAGGGAAGAAAATTTATATTGCAATTGTAAACGAATTATTATATTTTTTTTTAAATCTTTATTAACAACAAATTTGATGTAAACGCATTTTTTTTTAAATCTTTATTAACAACAAATTTGATGCATGCCAGTGGTAAACAACTTAATGGATGTTCACTTAGGGATACCAAACCCTTCTAAAACACAAGAGCAAAATTAATGCAAATAAACCAAATACCTGTAATCCTGAAGAGGTAATTTATTCATGGTGTTGACAAGAACATCATAAAAGTTCACCTCTTAATTCATGATCCTACCAATATCAAAAAGTGATAAAATGAGGTATCCAAACACAAGATAATGAACTGCACTCTCAGTTAATAAAAAGAAACTCCGATTCCTGCAAAAAATGAAAATTAGAAGAAGAAAAATAGATCAGTTTACCACAATTTGGTTGACTACATATTTTTATTTGCACCAGCGTTTTTCTCATATTCTCTCCCAGGTTGGAAAAATTAAATTGGAAGCGCACGACGGGAAACTGGCGCAGTCTCTGGAATAAAGTGCAATTAATAAATGATTATTGAAATTTTCCAGAAAATTTCCACTCACCAAAAGTTTGTTTTCAGTAATCTTGCGCCGACGACCTCGCACTTTGCGTGCCCGCCGGGGCTGAAGTAGGCCCCTGGGCCGATGATGTGGCTGTTAAGAATACTCCTTGGCTCTTTGGCCACTCGTGCGCGACAAGAATTCGGCCTGTCACGGCCTGCGGCCGTGGGAAAGCGGCCAAACTGTCAAAGAAACGTGCTTCCCGCGCTTCGTTTCTCGATTCAATATGGCAGCCGGCAGCTTGTTGTACCGTGAGCTTCAGTGGCCGCCACCAGGGTCGTGACGATCGAAAAGCGTTTTGTGCTGCCCTCTGGCAGTTAGTCAACGCGATATTTCCGTATTTAGCGGGGACGAGTTTCCCATATGGCCGTGCCACGGCCCTGGTGCCAACCTGGCCATTTCCATCGCCATAAAAATGAACAGACCTGCTGGCAACGTTTGATATTTATTTTTATCATCTGCGTCTGAAAGTTTTAGTGCTGCAGGAATGATTTTTCGTGCTCTCCGGCGGGCAGTCGCGGCGCATACCACGCACGCCTATCTATTGGAATCCGTTGGCAAAATGACATTTATGGCCAGTGCTCCCTTGTCCACGCCAGTCGGGCCTCTTTTCTCATGCCGACGGTTTGCATTCAAATGGCTATCCAATACAAATAATGATTCTGTTTGCCAGATAAAGGAAAGCCAGTCGTTGTCAGACGCAAGCAGGCCGCCTCTTTATTTATTCCAACTGCGAGGGAGAGGCAAATTTATCTTTATTTTATGCCCGCCGCACTAAAATCCAACAGTGAGAGAGCGCTTTAGTAAAAAATAATTGGATTAACGCTTGTAAGGGAACGCACTAAACACACAATTCCGCCTCTCCAATCCGCAGAATTCGGCCCTATCCATTTTGTCAATTTATTTTTGGAACGCAACGTGCCGCACAACCCTGTTCTGCGTGTTGCATAACCACCCGAAGTTAGAAAAAATATCATTTGGCGACGGTTTCGCAGCGGCTTAATTAAGGAAGTCTCGAAAGTAACCCTTTTCCAACTGACGTTTTCTTGGAAACTGTCATCAACAGATGTCAAAGCGGACAAATTTATAGCTTCGTCCCCGACGCAAAACTCGCAGCCCGTCCAAGTCGCTGCGCCAACTTTAAGTCCGCCCTAATACAGCCATAAACACGCAAATGCATGAAAAAGGTCACGGATTTTTTTTTACCTCTATAATCTTGATGTATGTTACTTTTCCCCGCATGTATCGACAGAAAGTAGATTATAATCAATCTTTTTATTCCCACTTTTGAGAGTGGCACGTTTTCCACCATCCTGCACGTTGAATATTTTATGAGAAAGAAAGCCAGAGCGCCGATTCGCCAAAATACTCCGTCCTCGGTGTGACACCCACTTTACGTAGTCAATATTTTCCGGCTCGGGTTAATTTCGTCTGCAAACGGAGAGAGAAAGGATCGTATACAAGCTCGTGTCGCGTTGGCATTACACTTTACAGCTTATCGTGTTTTAACATCGAGCTTTTCGCCACCGCCCATAGGCGTCAACTTTTCCTCCGATGCATGTATAATTATACGGGCCATAAAGGCTGAGCTGTCCAAAAACTATGTGTGTTGAACGCGATCGATTGCAGCCTCACTTGAATACCGATTTGCGGCAACAAAATTGTACAAAAAGAAGGTGCGAAACAAGATGATTTGCAAAATATCCCTTTTACGTGACTCGTCTGCGCCAGCTTGATAATAACCTTTGGCAAAGTTTCACCGCTTGCGTCGTTTTAATTAAAACTTTTTGTTAACAAGTAGTTACACGTAACAGGCTGCGAAATTTTTACCTAATTTGTCTCGTAAAAAAGCCGTCGAGATTTTTTTTTTTACACAGCGGAAGTTTTGCGACGAACAAACGAACGACCCACTCGCAAGGTGCCAAAAAATGAGAGAGTTTTGAGGAATATGAATTTGAATGCTGAGAAAAGTAGAGTCTGCTTTCCTGCCGTTCTTTTGTCTGCAGATTGGGGTGTTGCGTGCGCGAGTGTTTTCTTGTGTCCACGCAGCACTTTCGTTCGCACTCTCCGCAGAGGGCGAGAGAAACAATGGGGCTGCTTTGCAACCGCACCGAAATTTTCTCTCCCCGACCCGCAGATGAGAATCGGCCGAAATATTAAGAAACGCTGGGGGCGGAGTTGTTCGCTCGCGTGAGTCGCACAAAAAGTGGCGTATCAGCTGATATCAACGGTTTGATTCTGAATACAAATGAGCCCCCGCACCAACAACAATGAGCTACTTGATGCTTATTCATTATTTATCAGCAGCAAACTCTCCCGAAGCACTTGCTTAGTTTGAGGTCCCGTTGCAAGCGGGGGAGCTTCTTGCTCTACATTTCGCTTGGGATAAACTTGACAGTATCTTTGCTATGTGCTTCAAGTTTTAATGCAGATACGTGCAAGACTACTTTGTGTGAAATTCTGCCCCAAGCCTGTGAGTAATTACGTTCATGAACCATAGTAAATTTATTTAAATAGATTTGCAGTAAAACACAGTCATGCGAATCAGACTGGAAATTGAAGAAAATTTAAGCTAAAATGTAAAATGTAAAACTTAAAATAATAGTGTGACCAAGACGTCAGTCGCTTTTTTCTAGCGTCGTAAAATTTAATTGAAGGCGTGAAGCTTATTTATTTTTACTCATTTTTACTGACAGTCAATTTGGTTTTTCACGCAGTTTAAAACCGATTATTTTATTAAACTCAATAATAAAAATTCAGAATTCCACTTGAGCCCTGCTTACAAAATTAAAATAAGTGAAACGAGGATTTTTAACTTTAATATTGATTGCGTTTTTAATTTTTATTCTGGAGCAATTTACGTCTTCTTTTTTTTAAGAAATTATGAAGTTTTACTTATTCATATTTAGGGCCAGCCTGTGCCGTTAATTAGTGGTGCAGAAGGCACCACTCCTACTTTTTGGGTTCAATTATTAAAAAAAATCATCATTTTTTTCCGGAACAGTTATTCGAAAAACAATTAATGCTTTAAGCCAATTTAAACACAAGAAATATTTGTCTTGTTCTCTTTGAAGCAGCTGTAATGCCGTGTTTTAAAAAAAAAAAACTCTTTCAACACAGCGCATAGGAAAATACACTTTGTGCACTTTTTTTCAGTCGCTTCTTTCATGAAAGAAAGATAAATACGGCCGCGATGCTAAAGACGGTGTTGTTGGCTGATCTTATCAGCAAACTGACTTGTGCTGAGCGAGTGGCTGTTTTTTTGCACGTCCTCGCCGAGAAGGAAAAAAGAATGAGATTCCATTACACACAGCATACACCTTGAAGCAAGTAGAAGAAGCAGCGTGATGAATAAACAAGGGGGAGGGGGGAACAGAGCCCGCGTAATTAATGCTTGGATAATTAAGAGGAAAATCGATGTGGCCGCCGCGCTTCATTTTTAATGCCGTTTTGGTGTTGCTGCGTCCCGCGGCGTGTTGAATAACCCGTATTTTGACACCACCGTTATTGATGATAGGTCGCAGATTAAGAAGTATTTACACGGGCACAGAGAGAGACACGCTTGCGTTTCCATTCCCTCGTATACAACAGCGCGTTGTTTTGAACTCTGCCCATAGCTGGCTTACGGCAAATGATCCCTGAAAGGACATTGGCCAAATTTAGTTGCAAAGTTTCTTTATTGATATATATCATCAAGCGGGCATCAGGTAATTACTGCCTTATGCATCATACATTATGCATAATTCAATTGAAATCGTGGAAATGTTCAGGAAATATAATAAGCCACAAAAAAATTTCAAAGTAATATTATCAGATTCCCCTTAGTTTGCACTACATCAATAATTGATCAACAGTTAATCTTTGAAGAGAGTGAGTAAATGTAAATCTTCTTATAAAATTGTCTCTATGTTTGTCACGTGGAATTATTAACAATTTATTTTTATTGAATTTGAACGATTTATAGAAAATAAATAGACTAAAAACATTTTTTAATTTATTAAAATAAATTGATAAAATATACAATAACTGAAAAATTAACCTTTAAATTTATATAATATAAAAACTCTAAATAATTTTATTAAAACTTCAGTATTTAAATAAAAATGTTTAATGACTTTTTATAATACTATGCTTTATGATTTGTTAAAAAATGGTGCCCATTAAGTGCATTAATTTCCATTTACGATGTGATCAGATAATTAAATTGCTATTATTGTTCCGTACAGCAAACGGCGAGAAAAATGTCTGAAATTACAGGTTTTGTGCTGAGCGGCCAGATCGGCGATTAATGGAGCGAACGGGCAGTGGGTCACCCGCCATAAATGTACACACCATGTAGAGTGGCGTTGGAGTCCCGTGATGGGCGGGCGGCGTGTGTTTGTGTTTTAATACGAGTGTGATTTATCGCTTTTAAAAGCAGCACACGCAATCATTACGCCACCTTGGCCATTTACATATTCAAATTACACGCGCCACTGCGCGTTGTAAATAAATTGTCTCTCTGTGGCGCTCTCTCATCTCCCCAGCGCACTCTTTTACAAAACAAATGCCGTGTTACGGTCTCTTTATTTGGGCCGAGCGCGCGTTAATTACTAGGGAAACGCGATTTGCTTTGTGCTCTAATTATTACTCCAATTAATCATCGTGCCGAACGTTGTGTGCGAACCAGCTCGTTTGACAAGCTTTTCCACTCAAGTGGAGCCCCGTGCATTTTTTGCGGTTGGAGGGTAACAATTTTTTATTAAATTACTAAATCAATACCATGTAAATATCATTAGTTTTGTGAATATTTTTAAATGCTCACATAAAAGGTGGTATTCATTTTGCGATGAGTAAAGAGGCATTTTCCGCAGCTTAATTTACTTGTAAAACTTTAATTAATTATGATGTTCTTTCATCTCCTAAGTAGCTTGTTATTAAGCAACAAAATACAATGCAAATTGAAATTATCAAACTTTAATTTTTCTTATCAACATTAAAATTTAGGATTTTTTTAGCTCTGATTATAAATGTAATGTATAGGCATCGTCAGAGTAGTCCAGGGGCCCTGCAAACATTTATAGCCACAGCTTCACTTGGCCAATGGCTAAAATTTTTAATATTCCTGGCTCATATTCAGCTTTTTCGTTGGAGATTTTAATTTATTTTTATTTACTTGCTAATCCCTTTTGAAAAATTATTTCGATTTTTTACAGTGAGATTATTAATAATTTATTTATTCTTCATTCATTCATTATTTTTTACTGCAGCAACACCAATTCAGAGGCCAATTGAGGCGCACTATTTTAATGAGGAGTTAAAAGAAATTCTATTCTTTTCGTGGTTTAAATAGGTTGGAAGGGCAAGCGAGCTACCCGATGTCTGCCAGTCATATCTTGA